ACTTTTGAACTTACGATCATCATAATTGACTGTGAATATATATATTTAAATGTTCTTCTTTCACTGCCGGTTCTCTGTTTTCTGATGCTAACTCTCCTGTCCGCATACACCAGGTTTCCCTGAGTCCAGAGTGTATGAAGGCTCTCATGAAGCTGGTTTATTGCCCTCACTGTCGTGGCATGGCCTCGGTCAAACCCTGCTCTAACTACTGCTCCAATGTCATGAAGGGCTGCCTGGCCAACCAAGCCGACCTGAACCCGGAGTGGCAAAACCTCATAGGTGAGATTCAGACAGTGAAGTAGGAAATGGTAGAGTAAATCTAGAGATAATCCAGATGTTTATTAGTCCGAGTGGATCCCTGGAACAGACATCGAGCCTCATCCAAGAACCACTCATACGAATAGATTTGTTATTATGCTGCACGTATGAATGATTCATGAAAATCTGTGGCGCATACCAATTTTCTCTTAGGTATGAATGAACTGTACAAGTGGTCCAGCTCTGTTGTACCAGTCATGTCTTTATCCACGGGGGAAAAACATACAAGATTTAAGAATTATAATGACTTAATCGACATTCATGTAGAAATGAACTGAGATATAAAAAAATAAATAACTAAACAAACTAATATATATTAAAATATATATAGATATATATTGTGTTCATCATATCATCAGGAACTTACAGTAGTTGTATTTGTAGTAGGCAAATTCTTCCACTCCAACAGTCTAACATCCCATCTCGTATCTCTGTGACCGTCACGTTACCACCTTTCATATCATCTAACTAAAATGTAGCGTGAACTGTTCCCTCTTTGTTTCTCTGTGGTGTAAAGGTCATTTTTCTGTTTACATTTTTGTGAATGAAACCTGCTCACAACCAGAGCTGAGCGCGCAGCCTTATGTGGCAATTTTAGGGGCGTTGATTATGCTAATGATTAATCTCACAGTCGCACCTCCTCATGAACAGATGGTGTTCATCAGGCGGAAACAAACAATTTACTACATGTTTGTCCAGTTAATAGGACAAAGTAAGAGTGATTGAGGATAAGAATACTAAAATGTTCTTGCATGAGGCCCGCTGAGCGTGGGTTATGATCTTATGTAGACCAAATAAAAATGCAACTGCAGGTGAAAAGATTAGTATAGACATGAATAACCAAACATGCATTTTCCATATCTGACAACATGATTGATAAAAAGCTTTGATCCTCAGTTAAGTTGAGGCTGAGATAGTGTGAGAAATGTATGCTTCATCTTCAGGTATCATGCGCCACAAGGTCTTTGAATTACTGTGATATTATTTAAACTACTGGTTTTGGTTTCAATATTAATTATTATAATAATAATAAGACATAATAAGAAATAACACTGGTGACTTAAGACTGTTGTATGAAATCATACAATGAACAGTTTATTTAGTTGCTTGGGGACAAATCAAGTTTTGTTCCCAGAAAAACAAAGCCCCAAACAGGGTTTGTCTTGGTCGGAGTTCATCAGAAAATCTCCTTTCCCTCCTTCATCTGTTCAGACACTATGATCCAGGTGGTGTCCAGTTTCAGCACAGAGCCCAGTCTCGACGTGGTTCTCTCCTCCATCCCTGCTCGAATCTATGAGGCTGTTCACTACCAGCAGCAAAACATGGATACGTTTACAGCAAAAGTAAGACGTCTCAGTTTGTGTCTTTACTTATTCTGATTGCTTGCAAACACCCAAGCAAATTTCCCAGTGAGAATTTAATCTCCAGTAAGACGTCAGCTCATGCTTATGTCTGCAGTCCTGCACCCGTCAAATTATTTGTCGAACTCATCACCTCTTTATCAGTTTGTTAGTTGAATTTGATTCCAAGGTCAAAGATCATTAAGTAATACGCAAAATCGTCGAGGGACAGAATTATTATTCTTGAGAAGCGCTTACCGTGAGGATACCGGAGATGGAGCTCAACAATGTGCTCATTTGGAGTCAACCTTTCAGCTCAGTCGCTAGGCTCCCATAGTTTACCAGATGTCCTTTTACTGTGTGTACAGTATATGTCGATGTCCGTTACTGGACAAGTACTTAGTACAGCCATAAACAATCTCAGCCTTGTTTTCTGTTATTGCACTTGTAGTTTATTTTCAGTCTGTGTCAGTTTACACATTAAATCAAATGTAAATCAAGTGTTGCAGTCACAATGTAACTGATATGAATGTTTCATCCTTAAATACTTGTGTGGATGTGGGATAAAACAAAGCACCTCAAACAAGGCAACCATCAAGGCACATACTGTATCCCAACATCCTTATAGTTTGAAACGGTTGTCTATGGCGACACCTAGTGGATGGTTTCAGCACTCACACATACAGACCAGTGAATCCTAGAGCTGTATTTTAGATTGTAAAGTGGTTAAACTTTTCAAAATCACAACTCACATTCACAGCTTCTAGTACATATGTGTTGATCTTTAACTGCGCATCTGTGTGTCTGCATGTGTGTGTGTATAGGTGTACCAGATGTGTGGAACTCCAGGTGAACCAGGGACAGGAAGTCCTGCCCTTCATGAGCAGAGGAGGAAGAGTGGCTCCCTGACCGCCTCAGAATACAAACCCTCCCCGACTGCTGGACTCAGACTGGAGATGCAGGTGTGTACGTGTACATGTATAATACTGTGCAGAGGTTTTAGGCACTAAAAGAAAAGTGAGGATGCTTTGAAAAATAATGATATGAACAGTTTTTATTTCTTGTATAAAGAACAGTAAGCAGGAAAAACCCGAATCTATGAATCTGATCTACCGATCAGATACCTCACTGATGGTACAGTGCAATCGAAAATAATCTAAATTCCTGGTTGTTTGCATCAAGACATCCCAGGTTATTATTGTGTGTCAGAATCTGCATCAGCTTTTAGGTACAGGAAGACACATAGACATACAGAAAACATAGAGATACTGTACTGTGGTATGTGAGGGCCTTTATCAGGGCTATCCATGTGTTCCACTGATAAGGTTTAAAGAAGTTATTCATGATTTACATTAATTTGATGTACTACAGGTTTCCTGATGCTGTTTACATATTGAAAAAGTATTAAATGTGATTAAAACATATTACAACTTGTTTTGGATTCTAAGTCCAACCTGGAGGATTTGGGATGTGACTTGTGACGTGAGAATCACCTGTGAATTACAAAACAATTTTCTCTCAAATCTGGGTATTTCCGTCCTCAGGTATCAGACCTCTCCAGTAAGCTGAGGGAGATGCGACAGTACTGGACCCAGCTGCCCATGGCACTTTGCAGCAAACTGGCAGCAGGAGGTGCCAGTCAGGATAAATGCTGGAATGGCATTACCAAAGCCAGGTGAGGAAATCCCCACATCAGAGATCTGTCCATCAAGTCTTCACACAGCCAGTGGAATATAACCAACTGCATTTAAATTCACCTCATATCCAGACCATGTTTAGATGTAATTTAACTAGACTATATTTATCCCCAACATTAAAATGTTTTTTGTTTTGTTTTGCTTTGCCAAACACATGAATGAATGTCTCCTTTGTTGCTTATATACAAGTCCATACATTCAGTCTTGGATTTTATCCCCTACATTTATAGGAAGGATGTTAGATGAGGTTCCTACAACCAAGTGAAGTACTCATTCTTCCATCCTCCACTATTAACATAGTGTGAGTAAAACCCTTTCAAGGCCTGAAATCTGTTCCGCTCAAGGTGCATAAATGCAGCACAGAAACATTTACAAAATGTGTCAACATTTAAAAGCTAAAGGAGGTTTCTGAATAGCAGAGAAAAAAGGGAAAAGGAGAAGAGACAACTTGCTTACAGTAAAGTTGCTATGATACAGGCTGGTTTTCTGCTTCCTGAAGGCCATATCCTTTGTGTCTTAACAACGGAGACAACAAGCTGTTTCTTCTCAGACAAGCTGAGAGAACAGTGGTGTACAGAAATTTATTCTGCGGCCTTAGGAGTTGGCATTTCTTCCACACGGAAATCCACATCCTGCAACACAAGCATTCATGGCTGCACAAACTCACACCCCCATTGATTTTTTTTTAACCTCCTCCCCTTAATCCAAGTATAAATTGTTTATAGAACAATTTGATGCCATGTTGATATGTGTACATGTCTGCACTCACACCACACATCCATTCAAGTGTTTGGATTACAGCCAAGGGATGAGATTTATCCTGAGCAGAGCACTCAGAAATATATGACAGTCAAGAGGTTTGAATTACAGATATATGTGTGTGTGTGTGTGTGTGTGTGTGTGCGTGTGTGCGTGTGTGCATGTGTGCGTGTACAGAGAGAGAGAAATATGAGAGAAGCCATGAAATTTAAATGAATCACTGACTGCGTGTGACAGATTAAGGAAATATGAAATTTTTGTGGCAGTGGGTGAATTATTACTGTGATGAACGGTTCGAAAACCTACAGCGACATCTAGTGGATCTCCAGAGAGCTCAATAAATGTCAAACACAAAATTACAACGCCGATAAATTCTTCTTGAGTGGAATATGGAATACAGGCTTGGAGTATGGACTTTAAATAGGGCTATTTAACATTTTAAGAAGTTTCGAGAACATAAATTAAATCCCACCTCTAAGCAAATGGTGTGTGTGTCTGTGTGCAGCGTGAGTTCTTGTACCTTTATATTAGTGAGGACCAGAAGTTTTAAACCCTGGGTGAGAACATTTTTGATCAGTCCTAACTTATTCAAACATGGTTTTAGGATTAAGTGTTGTATTGTGTAGTATTGGGTTTAGTTTATAGTATCGTATATCTACTTTCAGTGGAATTGACTGATATCAAGACAATATGATGATATCATGTTATTGTTTTACAAAATTATGTTGTCCAAATCAATCATTCAAAACAGAATAAATGGCATTATTACATAGAAGTGTTTCTGACATGAATAAGGTGGACAAAATAATAGAAACAGCTCACAGTATAATGCAAAACGAGCTGCAAAATGACATTTGGATCAGCACGTCTCTCTAAAACAGTTTCAACACAACATTATAACTTTCATGAAGGGAGGATTTATTGGAGGACTGTTTTATTAAACTGCATTAGATTTAGTGAGCTGTACCTAATAAACTGCCAACTGAGTGTATAGTTGTGATGGCTAAGGTTAGGTTAGATTTAGGGGCTAGGTGAGGCATTTTGTCCATGAGGTTTTACACTAATACTAAAATACATTTGTGTGTGTGTGTGTGTGTGTCTTTGCTTGTAGACGTCAGACCACGTCAGTCTATCTGCTTACCAGGCGCTGTCAGCACAAAATGCCACATTGAATTTACACAATATGGCACAGCTGTGCAGATTTATTGACTGAGTGCATGCATGTGTTTGTAAGTAAAGAAATATTTGAACAGAGCCTCGCCTCAAACGAATCGCCCTCTCATTTACCGGATCTCGTCCCTTACACCCATTCTGAAGTTCTCACCACATATCCCTCCCCCATCCCTTCTCTCCTCCAAACAGATATCTCCCAGAGGTGATGGGTGACGGCTTGGCCAGTCAGATCAACAACCCAGAAGTGGAGCTTGACATCACAAAGCCAGACATGACGATCCGGCAGCAGATCATGCAACTCAAAATTATGAGCAACAGGCTGAAAAATGCATTGGATGGCAACGATGTGGACTTCCAGGATGCAAGTGGGTCTTTTTCTAATATTTGTACTTTTGAAAGCACTTTCCAGTGTTAAGATTTTATGAATGAGGCACCTTGACCTTAATCTGCATGACGCTATTTAATGGTCTGATTATCTGTGTTAAACCAGAGTTGGGAACTGAGGAGCAAATACTCCCACCTAGTGACTAGTAAACTTAATTAAAGCATTGATTCCATTCATGAAGGTCAAATTGTTGCCTCTCAGTAATTTCTCAATAATTGCCACTTAGAAGTTGAAAAGTGGGACCTTTTAGGGGCAACTGAAGGTGATGTCTTTCTTAAAAAAAAAAAAAAAATCATGTTCTTTTAATTAGATTTTTGAAAATAAAGTAATCAATAATTTCCCTTTCTGCCTCTCTCTCATGACCTCCCTAGGTGACGACATCAGCGGCTCAGGAAGCGGGATGTGTGTAGGTGGACAGTGTAGTCGGAGCAGACCGGGATTGTACGCCTACTCGCCAGACAACAACCGAGTTAGAGGCGCAGCCACGTCCCAAACCTGCCTCTGTAGCCTCCCGCTCCTGCTCCCATTGGTCATCCTGCTGCTTCAGCGATGATGGACCGCTGCTGCTGCTGCCTCCAGTCAGACTCTGATGTCTACAGCAGGGCTGAACCTTGGGACAGACAAAAAAAAAAGGGGGTTTGGTGGGGGGAAGATTGGAAAGTAACTTTGCCAAAAAATTGAAAAAGACATTTTGGGGAGTAAATGGACAAGATTTTCTTTGACCGAGAGGAGCAAAAATTGACAGTGACAATACTCTTTGTTTTGTTTTGCTCAGTCTTAATATGTCTTAGTGTGAGTGTGATTCAGTTTGTTGAGCTGGTTTCAGTGGATTCTTGGGATGAGGATTATGAGAGAAGAAGAAGATGAAGAAGACAAAGAGAATGATGACCTTACAGTGATGAAGATGATGAGGATATTGATAATGATTTATTGACTTTCTATCAGGTCCATTTAGCTCCAGCGTCCAGTCAGCAGGTGGCACAGCTCAGTGAAAAAAATGCTTAGTGCCCCGATGTGTGGTGCGTTCAACAACACTTTTTTATTTTACTTTATTTTTTAACTCGAGGTTGTCTACCTTTACAAACATTGTGTAAGCTGTAAATGTTTGTGTACATTAGCTAAAAGACTGGCACCATATTCAGCCATGAATGTACAGTATAATACTATATTGGCAATGAATCCCCCATAATCTGTGATGTAGTTGTCCAGATGTTTTTGGTGTGTGTTGGCATAAACAGATACATTCAGTATGATTCGTCTGAAATACTATTGCAGATAAATTATCACACTCCTGAAATGTATGAGATGTTGTGATTGCAAGATTTTACCTCACTTTGACTCTATACCCAACCATTTCAAAAAGAAAAAGGAAACAACCACTTTTTTAACAACTCATCACCTTTGTAAAGAAATAATCCGTCTCATCAAAGCACAGACTAGCAGTTTCGTTAAGTCCTTTGAAATTACATCGGACATTTGTGACATCACTCTCACCAGGTTTTGTAACTGCAAAATATTAAAAAAAAAAAAAAGCAATCACTATAAAAAAAAGATAAGGTTTTCAGTTTTTGTACATACGGTACAGGAGATTTGCAGAATATTGACAACATGTGTACGTTAGCCTGGTGATACATCACTGACTCGGCATGCCTCTTTTTCAGTCTACACTACTATACTGGTACATATGGGACTTCTAATTCACACAAATGGCAGACCTCTTGCACACACATTTACACACACTGGGGTTGTGTATTAAGCTGATTTTTATTCATGAGTGTATTGAATCTCACATTTCATTCATTAAACTCTGTTTGAGTGTTGCAGTGGATTTTGCCATGGACCGTTTGATTTGGTTATTATTCATTTACGTCTAATAAAGAAATAGTTCAACAGTTTGGCAATATACAGTTATTCTTGCCAAGACTTATATGAGAAGCTCACAAACACTCTCATATCTGTTTGCTATGTATGAAGCTAGAGCCAACAGTCCATTAGCTTAATATAAAGGCTGGAAACAGCTACCTTAGTGAAAAGGTAACAAAATCCGCCTTCCAGCACGTCTAAAACGCAATAATTAACATGCTGTTATATCTTGTAAAGCTCCAGATAAAAAAACAAAACAAAAAAAACACAGAATAAACAAACAAGACATAATGTGAGAATGAGTGAGATGCTGGTAGGGAGATGTTAAATATATTTGTTACGTCATACCATGATCATGGTATCAGTCTCCTCATCTGACATTCAGCAAGAAAGCAAATAAGCATATTTCCCAAATTGTCAAACTATTGCTAAAGGCTACGTCTCCTTTAAAGGCCTTTCTCTTCCTCTCAGCTTGAAGTCATCTGATACAGCTTTTCATCTGCGCGTACAGGCTTTCATCTATAAAGTACCAACTGTACTCTTTACACTGTCTCTGACTGATGCTCTATGGCTACCAGATTTAGTCATGACTCACTCCCTCCTGTTTCCCCTGCAGGGCCAAGTGGGACTACTCACTATGTGCCACACCCACTCATAGATATCACTCCTTCCCACGTAAGAACATCGAATCCAGGAGGATTTTGCACATTTTCTCCTAAAAGACTCAACTTGCTAGATACACTGCAACTATAAATAAACATTTAGCTCTTTGTAACAGGCACTGACAAGCTGGGGGAAAACGAGGCCACACATTGTGTGTGGGGATGACAATCCTGCACCAGTCAGGGGGTTTGGAGTTAATGAATGATTTATTTTCCTGATGCTGATGTTTAAAATCTGATACAAGAGAATGAAACTGAGCAGGAGATGCGCGCGCACACACACACACACACACACACACACACACACACACACATGCAGGTCCACAGAGAAATTTCTATTTTTGAAAAGTCTTGAACGTTTCAGTGCACAGGGCTCACATTTCATTTCTCAACAACTGCCTGTGACCTGATTTGAACGTTTGTTTCAACTGACCATTGTCCACATCATGTGTCTTTCCTGAACTGTCTTGTTCTATGATTGTGAATGATATGGAAGTTAAGGCAGAATTTGAACCGAACTTTTACTGAGAGCTGGGAGGACACAGTTGATTTTTATTTGGCCGTGTACAGACATAAAGAAGACGTATCAATGCTCAACACTGTGTCTGAACTGTCTGTCCATGATCACGTCCAAGTTACTCACCATTTTAAATCCCTCAAGTTAGGTCTGCCATTGAACAAAAGGCTCCACAACTCTTGTTGCACAAATTGAAGAGAATCTCTGGAGACAGTTTAAACATAATTGTTGTGCTTATGTTGCAACCAGCAAGCCTGTAATCGATTTTTGGGTCTCCACCTGTGGTTTAAAATTGACAAACTCGGTGCTAAACGTGTTTTCTTGCAAATTTCAAATGGTTCCGACTGCTGGCTTTAAGATAAGAAGCGTCTCTCTTTGTCTGCTCTTTCACTTACACACAGACATACACAACTCTTCAAAACACTGGTCAATGTGTCTCAGGATGCAGTAGCCACTGGTTAAAGGTAGGCCTAATTGTTGTAGTGGTACATCGTGCAGTATCATAAAAGCTGTTGACAAGTGAGATGTCACATTGTGAGACTGCGATGGCCTTTGAAGGCTGGGAAATACAATGTCACAGCAATGATCTGTACTGTGTCAAGTGGCTGAGCAGCTTTTTCTCTTTGTACACACAGTGCCAGAGACAGGGAGCTGCGGAAGATGAAGGAGATGAGGAACAGGACAAAAACTTCAAGAGTAAATTGACCTGAGGCCATTAGGGGCTGAAAGGTGTCGAAGTTTTAATGCTGCACTTTGTCAATAAAACTTTTAGGTCGCAGAGGGCCAAAAAACCTTTTTACTCTTCCTGTTCACCCATTGTTCCACAATATTGTTGTGTATCTACATTAAAGAGAGATTCTGCTTGTTTAATAGTTACACCTGAATAATCATTAACCTCAACTTTAAAACAGTATGGCTGTCCCACAGTGTAAAAAAATCTTTGAGTCCAAATCACCTCAAGGTCTCACAATCAATGGAATGGTGTAGAAGGGCGAAGGTTGGTCATGTAGTTTAGGAAGTGACTTAATGAACAGTTCTGCACAGCCACACAAGTGTCTATGCTGGGAATTAGTCAGTAAGTCAGTCAGTAAGGTTCATGTGCCAACAAGAGTAGTAAAGGTTAGTGTTGTCCCGCTCAGACAACAAAACAAACAGGAGAGTGAGGGAACTGTAATTCTAATTCGTTAAAAGACGGGAAAACACCTGTGTGGGTGAACTGAGTGTTACTTAAGTGTTACTTCACCCTCTTCATCCAGTGTAGTTGTCACTTTTCTGTTGAAACTGCAATGTCTAAACTGTGTATGTGGCTGTTTTCATGTCCCAGATTAAGGAGAACAGACACATCCGTTATTACTTGGTGTCAGAGACAGTTCAAGGATAATTTAACTTATTTCCAGGATATCAAGGTGATGTTTCCTCATCTCACTTAGAACTTGTGTTGTCTGGGATGTCTCATACATAGTTTTTACTACATAGTTCTTAGGTGGATCTTGTTTTTTGGTATGTGCGGATTCTCTTTTGTACTTCTGGCCCCCAGCGGGCTTTCACCAGTGGTGGTCAATCAATCACTTAAAACTTCTTCAGAGTGATGATAATATACTGAAGGCTTGGTGTGTTCGATCGGCATCTTTTTGTATTTTCATATATTCATATTTATTCAACAGGATTTTTTTTTATGAGCAAGGTCAGTGTGCTTTCTTTAATAAAGCCTCTCATTGAGACCACCTGCTGGGAGCTAAAAGTCCCACCATATAAGGACATTAGCCTCTCCTGATTGGCTGACAAGCAGGTGTACAGGTGCACCTAATTAAGTGCTCCTTGAGTTGAGGCCAGATTCTGCTCTGCTTTGACAAATGTTTGGGTCAGAAAGGTTGGAGCAACATGCGTTTGCTGACACCTGTTGCTTCATCTGCAAAGGTAAGGCATTTCTTGTCATTTTCCAAAGGTAGAGTTTTGTAATTTCACCAAAATTGAGACACATCTCACAACTTCTCTCCAATACACAATCCTCTGTGGTTGTGACTGAGGTTATTTCTGATTTTTTTTTTTTTTAAAACAAACAAAAAAACATTACCATGATCTTTTTAAAATAGTTTTTTTAGGAAGTACCATATTTTGCTCTGTGTGTCTGTCACATGCACTGAAAAGAAACAAAGCAACCACCCTAATGAAGGGAAGATTAAAGCACGGTGTACTGGAAAGAGTTGTGTGACATCTTTTATTTTGATAAACTTAGCATTGAAGCTCACAACTGTTCTTCAACCTACTGCGACTGTGTCGTCAAAAGTCAGAAAAATGTGTAGTAATTTGCTAAAAGCATGTCATCATAATGAGGAACAAGACATTCATAACTGTACATTTCCCTGAGGGGACCAGGATCAGCTGCCCTTTATTAAGTGAGTCTGGGTGCTGTACTGCTTTATGACCACTGGGTGTCACTGTCCCGTCACGGAGCCACCATGCCGGGGCGGTTGAGACCTGACTATTGGGCACAAAGCACAGGTCAGGTGGAAAAGAACGGGTGATTGGTTTACAAGCCGCCATGCTCTCTCCTGATTGGATAGAAAGGTGTGAGGAGGATGAGAGGAGAGAGAGAGAGAGAGAGAGCGAGATCCACCAGCAGTCTAACCGCTTCAGTCCCCGCTGACTCTGCCGGTGCAGCACACATACACAAACACCCAGAGGACTGAGATGTGACTGTACATCGGAGGAATACAGCGTGTCTCTGTGGGGATTTTCTCTGTCAGCTGGATAATGGGAGAGGACAGGCGGGGAGTCATCTTGGCCATGCCGGCCACTTGGGTTGCGGTGCTTCTCTGTGTGATTACTCCGGTGTATGCAGTGGAAGGTAGGTGGGCAAAGAGGGGGCTTTTATTTTTTATTTTTTCCCAGTGCTCAGATGGTGCAGGGTGAAGCCTTGAGTTAATTTATGCACGAACTGTGGAGAGAGAAGGAGGGTGCAAAAGCCGTCCTGTCAACTGACCTGTTTATTAGAGTCTAACACCTCTGTTATATTAACTTTGTGCAGACCTCTTAATTCCTCTCCACAGAAACTTATGTTGTGATATTTGTGTGACATCCCTCTACAATGTATTACAGGTTATTAGGTAAAGTTTTTCACTTTGTCAGAGTGACTTGTCTGCGTTTGAAGGGTTTAAATGAGGGTTGATTGGCTTTCAGCGGTGGAATTTACGTCGGGACAGGGACGCTGCTGTGCTGTATTGGAGGTTAAAGACACTGCCAGTTATTGCTCACACATCACTGTGCAAATACGAAAAACAAATGAAATAAAAAAAAGAAAAGCAATCTGCGTGCTTTGCAAGTTATATAATATTCCACTATGCGTTTCCAAAATGTTATTTATTGTTCTACCAAGCATGATGATAATGTTTATTTTAATTAAATTTTTGTATTCATATCATTTTAGAGGCTTAAATTATATCAAGTTGCTCACCCATAGCCCTGTTGCACAAGCTATCTAATGTCCTGTGATATGAATATACTGTATCATATTTTGTTTGTGTGCTGTTGGTGTGAAACCTGACTGTCTCTCCCTCAGTGCACTGTTGTGGCTCCATTGTGCTCACCTGGAGCAGCAAACTGAATCATAATTATAGCTTGCAGGTACTCAGTGACTTCTTGTAGCTGTTACCACCTCCCCTACTGCTCCTTCCTTCACCACCATCACCTCCTGCTGTGCCGCCCCACCCCCCACCCCACCCACTTGAAGCATCATCTTCCCCCATGCTCCTTTCCAAACATCAGCTTCTGGCTCTCTTGCTGCAC